TTTGTATTGTTGATATGTGGTTCCCATATCCTTGCTCTTCATTTCCATTGTTTTAGATCTTTCTAAAATTACTTGTTGTTCTACATCTTTTTTTTTTTTAGTGAAATTGACTTTTTTTATGCTTTAGGTTTGGCGTCGCTCTTTTTATACCGTCGTCGACCTTGTTGTCTCCCCTATCGTTGATGGTTTCCTTTGTTATGCTATGGATTTTTTTTTGTTTTGTGATTTTTTTTTTGTGTTCGACGATATGGACGCTAGCTTGATATAGGCAAGGGTGCAAGGACTTAGCTTAATTATGGGCATAGGGTTTTACGATGCTTGTGAAAGATGTGCCTTAGGATTAGGAAATATGAGTATGGAAGGACTGTGTTGAGGGCTCCGAAGTGGGCAAGGTGCTTAGGTAGAGTCGAGGGAGTGGCTGAATAAGGTCATTGCTGGGGCTTAATGTTGGTTTGATTTCTCTCTCTAGGCTGGGGGTGCGTCGAGTGCTTTTGATAAAGAGGAGATTGGTGCACCACCCGATCCTAGGTGCAGGCAAAGATGTAAAAAAATGTTAAAAAGGAAAGAAATAAGGGTGGAGGTCTCATCTCTAGTGCTTAGTGGTTCTCTCCTTTTATCTTGTCAATTTGTTTCCCATCCCCATTCCTCGGGCTTAGCCTTGGGATTAATTTTTTGGAGTTTAGTTGAATTGGGCAGAGAACCACCTAACTTTTAGGGTGGTGGAGCTTGCGAGGTTTTGGGATAGTGATTATTCATGAATTTGTGTTAAGGTTAAAGGTAAAAGCAGAAGGTGAAAATTAAAATGCTAAAAATGGTGCATGTAGGGGGTTAACGGACCTAGCTTTAGTCTTTTTTTTTTGTTATTTCAATTAATAATAATAATAAAAATAATTAACTCTAAAAATAACTAGATAAATATAATTGGGCTTTAAAATCAAATGTTGAAATCAAAATTGAACAAGCTCAAATTGACCAGACAAAATTCGGTGTCTACACATTTTAACCAAGATAATTTTAAGATAATATAAGATTAATGGCACTATTTTAAAATGAGCATTATAGAGATGCTAATATTTTCCTTACACATAACGATACTTCGAAATCTAATTCTATTTTGTACACTAAAATATATTAGTTTTAAAGAGGTTGAGTCAAGTTTAAGATTTCTTTAAAATGGATAAATTCAATCCAATGATCAATCACATTTATCTAAAATTTATTGATGATGACTTCATTTTTTGTGTTTAAAAGTTGAATTCTCAAACTTATACGTTATGACACTCAGTGCAAAGTCTTAGCTTTATTGTATGTGTGTGTGTGTGTATAAATAATTGAATAAGTTTAGTAGTTATAAAAGTATAAATGTCAAAATAATGAATAGCAACACAGCATCCAAAAGTTAAAAGACCAATTAAAAAACATCAAAAGTTCAAGCCTTGACAAAAAGAGAAAAGGCAAGGGACATAAACAAGATCATGTAAAGAAAATGCAATATTCATTTCTTAACTACCAAACCAAGAATATAAGCAAGCAGTTAGCACTTGGTCAAGCAAGACTACAAGATAAATGTCAAAAGAGCAGACAATAAAAAGTAGCCTCTTAGAAAATTCCAACAAGAGGAATCTTATAGTAACTTGTAAATAGTTAAATATTGGTTAAGACAAAAAAAAAAAAGGATAACAAGATTGAGTAAAGGGAAAGTGGAACAATTCTTTTTGGGCCACATACAACAACCTATCTTCTACATAGAGGATTCCAAAGTGTCAACATTGTTATATCAACAAATTAGATGAGAAATTGAAATTAATATACTTTGGTCTACATATATATCATTTAATAAAGTGTCAACATTTTTATTTATTTAATAAATTTTATTTGATAAATGGAGATAATGATAATTAAGAAAAGAATAAGAAAATAAAGGATGTGTAATATAAAGATAAACAAACCTTTTCATAAAATATTAAATTAATCTGACAAGTAAAGGAATAAGTGATTTTTTTGAATACTTTTGAGATGAAAAAATTTCTTGAGTTATATTGGAAGTATCTGAAAAGACTTGAAAAAATTTTTGATATTCAAATAATAAATTAAAAAAAGATCAAATAAAAGAAATTAAGGAATAATTACCATTTTCACCAAAATAATTTTAAGATAATATAAGATTAATGACACTATTTTAAGATCAGTATTGTGGGAATACTAATAACTTCATTACACTTAATCATACTTCTAAATCGAGTTCAATTTTGTAGACTAAAATATATCATTTTTAAAAGATTGAGTCAAGTTTAAGATTTCTTTAAAATAGATAATTTCAATTAGGGGACCAATCATATTATCTAATATTTATTGACGGCAACTTCAATTTTTGTATTTAAAAGTCAAATTCTCATATTTAAATATTATGACACTCAGTACAAAGTTTCAACTTTATTGTTTGTGAGTGTGTGTATATATTATATATATATATATATATTGATAATTGAATGAATTTAGTAATTATAATAGTATAAGGCCAAAATAATGAATAGCAAGACAACATCCATGAGTTAAAGGACCAATTAAAAAAATCAAAAGCTCAAGGATTAACAAAAAAAAGAAAAGGTAAGGGATACAAACAATATCACGTAAAGAAAATGCAATATTCTTTTCTTGACCACCAAATCAAGAATATAAGCAAGTAGTTAAAATTTGGTCAAGCAAGACTACAAAATAAAAATCAAAAGTGCAAACAACAAAAAACAGCCTCTTGGAAAATTCCAACAAGAAGAATCCCATAACAGTTTGCAAATATTTCCATATTTGCTAGGACCCAAAAAACAATATTTAGCAGGAAACAGAAAAAGGGAAATACCCTATTTCTTTTTGTTGTCCATTTTTGCTATCTTAAGGCTATCTAAAATGACGATGTGTTACTTTTTTTTCTCGAGAAATTCTACAATTAAATAGATAACTTAAATACAAATTTTAATTTTTTTTCAAAAATAAAAATATAGGAATTTTATTTCCTTATATTTACTTGTTTCTCCTATATAATAAAAATTGAAATAAAACTATTTCGAATGATAATATTCCAAATCCTTGGAAGATGTATAGACTTATTCATATACTTATGTATTTCAATTCCACCTATCCAAACACCAAAAAAAAAATTTGTTCATATATATATATATATATATATATATACTTTATTAATTCTATGTAATGGATACCTTTTATTTGGGTACCCATTACTATCAAATCCGATTATATTGTATTAAGGTATGCTATAATCTATAATTATAGGATTTGGTAGGAGGGTTACTGCTCAGTGGGGTTTGGCTAACATCTTTGCGCACCCTATACCTAAGCCCAACTAGTTATTTGTTCGGAGAGCACAGGGTACTTGAACCCTTTTACCCTAACCCATCATCTATTTACATTTACAAATATTAAAATTTTATATTTGTGGGATGATTTGAATTTGGCAAGTCTTATTACAAGAGTTTTAGGGTCTATATGTATAGTCGGTGAGATTAATTTACGGGGGAATTAATTTATGTGAGATTGAAAATGATGGTGAAAATAAAATTAATTACTATATTAATGATATTAAAATTAATAGTGAAAATATGTGTTTTGGATACAAATGTAGTAGTAGTGGTGAGTGAAATTATAATAAGTAAAAAAAAAATTGACAATTAAGGGTATGAAATAAAAACTATATGTAATAAAAAATTTAAATTATTTAATATTTATAAAATTAATAAATTATTAAAAATTATTAAAATATTTTTATTTAAATATTAATCTATTACTACATTATTAAAAAACAATAAAAATAATAATATATTAAATAATATTTTTTTATTACGTTAAATTTACAAAATTATTTCTTGACAAAAAAATTAATAACATTATTTAAAAATTTTTATTCTAAAGCATATGATTAGGCTCTACACTAACAAATTGTATAATTTATTCTATATTACATTATAAGAGATTATTATAACGTAATAATAACTTTTGAATAATTTTTGAATTATTATGTTAACATAATAATAACTTTCAAATTATTATTATAAGATACAAATATCAATAATATATTTTATGTACTTGATTCTAAATTGCCTAGTAAGAGATTATGTTTTTTAATTTAAAAACAAAACATTGTTTCTAAATGGCATTCTTAACAAGAAGAGATTATAAAATTTCTTTATGTCATGTATACCTATGATAATTAAAAATTTTATATTATTTATTTTAAATCATATTATAACTTATAAGTGATTATTTTAGGTAGACACACCATATAGTAATTTGATTAGGGTATTAATATATATTAATATATTTAAAAGACTAGTAACCTTTAAATAATTATTTTGAACAATTAATTTTGGAGCTTAATAAGGTAATAATAATTCTGAACTTATATTTTTAATTTTAGTACTTGTTTGATTTTATATCCTTAATTGATAGAAAATTGTAAATTAGATGTTGAATAAATTGGTGTTCTTACTCCAATTCAAGTTTGGGTCAAGTATTGGATATTATCAAAATTTTGCTTAATAATAGAGTATTTAACAGATATTGTAAATATTATTTTAGAATTTAAATGGTAAAAGCATATAATATTCAAGTATTTATTGGATTGGAATATTTTTATGAATAATCGAATTCGGAAAAAATCCAAAAATAACACATATTTTACATCTTGCCATCATTATGAGACGTGCCCCAGTGACTCATCCAAATGAAAACGAAATAAGTGATTATTGTGGCCCGTCGTGTCGCATTCAGTTCAAGCATTTAATTACCAACATCATCATTGTGATACCTTTAATTTACAAATTCAATTTTATTGTCGGCAAACAAAAGTGGGGGCCATGTCCGAAGGGCAAGAAATTTTGGATATAAATAACCTTGCAGTCTGCGGCATTCAAGCACAAGAGTGAAAAACACCAAGAGAACAAATAGTTACTTGCTAGAGATTACCAAATTAAAGAGAGATATCAAAAATGGCATTGACATTGCCAACCTTTATGGTGCTCAGATCCGATGAGAAGAACGAATACCTGGGCTTCATCCATGAAAATGGGAAGTCTGATGGGTATCTGGAATTCTCGGAAGCTCAGGCTGTGAGCCCGTATGCAAAATTTGAAGTGGAGATGGCTGCAGGAGCTGGCAAAGATGGCATGGTGCACATAAGGAGCTGTCAAAACAACAAATACTGGGTAAGAACCAAAAATCTTTCCGCCACTGAAACCCCAGGGGAGGGCTATTGGATTACTGCAACGGCCAGCAAGCCGGAGGAAGACCAATCCAAGGAGTCATGCACATTGTTCAAGCCTATCTCTGTAGACCCTGTAACGAATACGGTCCGAATTATTCATGTTCAATCAGAATGCTATCTATGCTTATGGCGGCTGATCAATTCGAATCCAAAACCTGGTGATCGCTGCGTCTTGGCATACTACAAACACTTTGATGGTAATTCCCGTGATATCTTTACAATCATTGATTGGGAGTCGTTGTTGATTCTGCCTAAGTACGTAGCATTCAAAGGAAATAATGGTCAGTATCTTTGTCTGCGTTGGATCGAATATCACCCATATTTGACGTTTGCAACTGATGATATTGGTGATTCAACTGTGCCATGCGAGATTTTTGTTACTCACAACGGAAACATCCGCATCAAGCCCACTTGTTCAGAAAAATTTTGGAGGCTCAGCCCAAATTGGATTTGGGCAGATTCTGATGACGGCGCTACCACCGTTAACATCCCGGTGGACACCTTGTTTCGCCCCGTCAAAGTTGACAATCGCACAATAGCTCTTATCAACTTGGCCAACAATAATTTCTGCAAGAGCATCACAATGGAGGGAAAGACAAACTGTCTTAAAGCAGCCGTCCCCTCTGTTACCAGAGATGCCCAGCTAACGGTGGAAGAGCCTGTCATGACAAGACAAATTCATAATGTCAAATATAAACTTGATTATTCCAGGGTCTATGATGAAAGAATTATTGTTGCAGCTAAAAATTCTGCCAGTAACTATAGCCAGCAATCCTCCACTTTAGACGTGAAGCTTTCCTATACAGATACCAAGACTAGTACTTGGAAAACTAATTTTTCACTAAAGTTGGGAGCGAAAGCCACCATCGATGTCAACCTGCCACTCATTTTTGAGGGGAAGATTGAATTATCCGGTGAAGTTCAGTCAGGAATTGAGTGGGGAGAGACCAAGACAATTACCACTGTAGTGGAGGTTGTACACAAAGTTGTTGTGCCTCCGATGACTAAGGTGACGGTGGATCTGATTGCAACAAATGGTAAGTGTGACGTTCCCTTCTCATTCACTCAAAGGGACACTCTTTATAATGGGACCACTGTCACAACTGAAGTGCAAGGTGGCACTTACACTGGTTCTAATTACTACAACATCAGCTTTGAAACCAAAGAAGAGAAGTTGAAGTGAACCAAAGCAATATACTGAAAACTCCACTGGGCCACAAGCGGGGACTTGCAAGGATTGCGTGTGAGGTATATCATCGTATGTTTGCCATTGTGTGCATAAATAAAACCGTGTTTCCTTTATGGAAGCAAGCATATATCTGTTTTCTTATTATTAATTACAGTTTATGTATACTTCCTGCATAGCCCAGTGGCATTATATTTCTTGTGTACTTTAACGTGAGAATATATAAATTACGTGTGGTGTGTCTTTATGTGGTTTGGAGATCAATATGTATTTATCTTTATGGTCCATATATATATATATATATATAAAATAAAAGTACTCTACTTTTGTCTGCATATATCATTAACAAAATTAAGAAAATTTACTACATTGCTGCTTATATATATATATATATATGTATAATGAGTTGGTGTATGTGAGGGTTGTTTTTGTTAAATATATTTTCAAAATATGAAAATAATATGATAAAATAAAGACTTAATCAATAGAAATCTTATCTAAGTATTTAATAAGTTAAAAGAGAATGTTTCATGATCAATAGGATTGATTTTAGATTTAAAGAATCATTGAAAAATGACGTATCATAAAAGCAGTCGATTGCCTTAGCGACTACTATATTCATGCCTAAGGAGCAGTGGACTGTCTATGATAAAAGAGTTGACTATTATGCATTTCATAAAGGTTCCAAGGTTTTAGTACAAAACTTAAAAAAGGAGCAATCGACTGCCTACCCTAAGCAATCAATTACTATGACTAGAATCGATTGCTTTATTGATTGCTTTAAGTTTTGAATATTTTAGAATTGAGAAAACTCTAATGCCTACTTTGTGGAACTTCTGGAAACAAAAAATACAAAGAGACAACCAATTGCCTTTAAACCGCCCTAAACAACCACAAGTTAAACAGACGATAGTCGACACCCTAGGTTCCTTTTCTAAATATAGTTAGTTTAGCTATTGAATTGAATTTCTTCATCGTTTGATAGGCTTCTTTTAAGTCAGGCAGCAAGCTTACCTTTCAAGCTGAAAGCCTACTGCAGAATTAGTTACTTCTAACATTGTAGCATTATCTTCAACCTCATTGTCTTTTAAGTTGATCTGTTTCCTTACTAGCTTTTTCCTCCACATCGGCTTTCCCACTATTTGATATAAGTTTACCACTAGACAGAGAGGAAGTGGGCAATGTATCTTCAGTTTCATTGTCTAATACTTCCACAGCAGCAACATCAATCGTCAAATATTATTTTCTGAGAACTATCATCAATTTCAGGTTCACTGATATGATATTGCTTCCTAAGCCTTCTTCTATTTCTTCCTTTGTTATCCTTAGACTTCTTTAAGTCCAACATTTCTTCATTTGTGGACATCAAACCCAACAAAAGCATTTAAAATAGAAAACACATAAAAATGCTTACTTTTACCAAAACTTAAACTAAAGAGCATAATTATGAAAACCAGAAATGATTGTCAGTTCAAAACCAACTAAGCTCAAAATACAGATTTGGACATGTATTAAAATGACGAGACTAGAACAAAGTTTTCATATGTAATATCACTTTTGCACATTGTGGTTGCCAGTTCAAAACCAAACAGTAAACCTTAAAGTACAGATTGGGACATGCATTAAAATGACAAGATCAAAACGAAGCTTTCATATGTACTGTCATTTTTGCATACCGTTCACAACGATCCAACATGATTCGAAAAATAAAACAATGCATAGGGGGCCCATAAATTCTAACGGAGCAGAAGAGCCTGGAGAAGATGGGAAGACTTGTGGATCATCATCATCATCATTGATAAAACTACTACCATACTTTCTGTGCTGTTCTCTCATCTTTCCACAACTGTCTCTTCAATATCTTCTCCATAAGATTTTCTGAGATACATAGTTAATGAAAAAAAAAAAGAAAATAAAACAATAATTTGAAGCAAATTTGACACTTTAAAAGAATAATAAAAAAAAGGATAAGGTTCATCATTGGGATGATTATGACTACCTTAGTAGCATAAAAACAAGATTAAATAAATATACATACTAAAGTCTAAAATGAAACTTTCTAGTTGCCAGTATAAAGCGGAAGAATGGATAAAAGATGAAAACAAAGAGTAAGAGACTCTGCAATAAAAAAAAGATACATTGAACTGGGTTTAACCACCTATAAAGAAAAGATCAACCAGAAAACCAAAGAACCATACAATTCTTAAACAAAATATAATATATTCATCATGTTCTCATGCATAATAAAATATTCCAAGAAGAAACCTATGGTCAAGTTTCTATAGCAATATAAATGTAAGAGTTCAGGCAACAACCTTTTCCATCAAATTTTTTTTCCATAAAAAGGAAATATAAGAAAATATTTAAACTGATTGCATCAACCAAATGACTTAGAGGACTCAGCAAAGCACGAATTGACTGAAAAATCACACAATGATTTGTTAAATTAATTAATCAAAAGAATGCTCTGCACATCATGAATAGTGGGTGGATGGTTAGGTATACAAAAACTTAGACATGCAGATATATCTACATATTCACTGCATATTATCCTATAATACGTTGATATACACATTTGAGAAAAAGAGCACTCGTCAAGAAACCAAAAAAAAAAACCCAAAACCCTCTTCCACACCCCACCACAACCCATGCTCCCTTGACTCATTACTACCTAAATCAAAATGCTTGAAATTCCCCATAACAAAACCATTCGGCCATGTCCACCCAAATAAAAAAATTAAAATCACACCCAAAATTAAAAAAAAAATTGAATCACAGTCCTTTTTGAGGAGCGGAACCCAGTAAAATAAAGAGCAAAAAATAAAAGACAAATGAAGAGAAAGGGGGACCCCTTGGGATTTTTGGTTTGAGAATTTGAAGGAGTTTCGGGGCCGGATCTGTAAAGGGGGGAAAGATCTCGGTGAGGGGATGAACATATTGAAAGCTGGCAGCCATTGGAATGGCGGAGGTAGGAGTTTCGTGATTTTTTTTTGGCAGGTTTAAGGGTAGATCTAGGATGGGGGTTGTTTCTAAAAAAACTAAGGCGAGAAAGGAACTCAGGAGGCTGAGATAAAGATGTTGAAATTTTGGGGTTGAACAATGACTGACCGACGGCTGCAAAAGGCGGCCGGTCGTCGGAATCAGGAATCTGGGAGGGGGGTTTGTTTGTTTAAAGAGTGTTTGAAATTTTTCAAAAGGAAGAAAGAATTGAGTGAAAAAGAAAATATTGGTTTTTATAATGCGAGAACCAATAAAAAAAAAGAAGTCAGGATCCGCGCGTGGATCCAAATCAGCGATATATGGATTTGGACTCGTTCCGGGATCTGCAAGCCCGACTAGGCTCTAGCCCTTGTCAATAACATTTGATCGGTCTGATTCAATCAGTAATTGAACCGCTTCAAGCCGCCGTTGAATTGCAAAAATTGCGTCAAACCCAAAGAACCAGTTTGAAGCGCCCAAAATTGAATCGAACTGTTGAATCGTTGACCAGAATTGATTAAAGGTATTTTAGGTATTTTATTTATTATTTTTTTTATTTTTATTTGTTTTTATTGTTTTTATTTCAATTTTTATGATTATTTATTTATTATTTTTCGGTCAATTTTGATATGAAAAATAAAATAAATTATGAAAAATAATTAGAAAAATTATTTGTGAAAATAAAATATTGTTTAGTCGAAATTTATTGAAAATAATTATAACATAAATTTGGGAAAAAAAATTGAACTATCATTTTTTTAAATACTTTTAAAACAAAATAATAAAAATAAAATTTTCATCGACAATAAAATTTTAAAAAATCATAAGTGATAATTTCTCAAAATTTTAGATAAATTTTTTTTAAAAAAACATTTGATTTAAAAGGTCCCAAGCATTTCTCAATAATTTAACTTATTTAATACTGTACTTAGCAATCTTATATGATTTTATCTTGTTTAATTGAAATTAATATTTAACTTATTTAATACTGTACTTAGCAATCTTATATGATTTTATCTTGTTTAATTGAAATTAATATTGGATGTCATCTTAAAAAAAAAAAAAAGAAATATCTAATGTTATTACAACAAAAAGTGATTACACCTAAGCTTGAAATTATAGAAGTTTTAGTTTCCATCCCTACGGTTGTGGTAAATTTTACAACTTTAACATGGTTCATAATTGCTAACTTTGTTCTTCAACTTATCTTACATCTCACAAATTGCATAAATTTAGTATCCCAAAATTGAATTATGATATATATATATATATATATATGTGTGTAGGAGAAATTATCACATTCACTATAATAAAATATTTAGATTTTACAAATAAAATTAATACAAAACACAAAATTTGTAACAACTTTTATATTGTTATATTAAAATGTTAAAAAATAATTTAAGCAACGACAAAGAAAATTCGTTATAAATAAAACAAATTTTCGTAACAAAATTTTTTTTCATTCTAAATATGATAAAATTTTTGTAATAAAATTTTTGTCATCGTATAAAATTTTTAAAAAATAAATTAAGTAACGGTGTTAAAAATTTGTTGCAAATAAAATAAGGTTTTACAATACTAATATTTTATCGTTATAAATGTGATAAAATTTTCGTAATAACTTTTTGTCATTGTAAAGAATTTTTAAAAAATAAATTAAGTAACAATATTGAAAAATTGTTACAAATAAAGCAAGTTTTTACAACAATAATATTTCATTATTACAAATGTAATGCAAATTTTCGTAACAAATTTTTTGTCGTTGTAAAAAATTTTTAAAAAATAAACTAACTAATGAAATTAAAAAATCATTATAAATAAAATAAGTTTTAGTAACACTAATATGTTATCATTACAAATATGATAAAATTTTTTATAACAACCTTTTTATCGTTGTATAAAGTTTTTAAAAATAAATTAAGTAACAACATTAAAAAATTATTATAAATAAAACAAATTTTCGCTATAATAATTTTTATTGTTATAAATATGATAAAAAATTTTGTAATAATTTT